GGATGGTAGAAAAGGTTTATTCAGCTATTCACCAATTGATAACTCAAGTTACCAATTATTTTGTATCTCCCAAATAACTAGTGATAGGAATAGTATTGCTTTCGACTAACACTTTGTGTTCATTGCGTGTCACACCAGCACCCAGGGTATTAAAGTGCCTTACTTAACGCAGGTTTTTTCTCAACAGGATATTGCCAGACAATTCTATTCTTGCTATACTATAACTAGGGCTAAACGCACTCCAGATTATTTTTATCTCGTTTTTATAGGCCTTTCCTTACATTTGTTTTTGTTTTTATTTAATTTACTCAGGTTAAAGTTCCTTTGATTTTTTCGATTGTGCAGGGCAATAGCTATGTGAAACATAGTAAGTTTATATCTTTATAAGGTCACTGAAGAAAGCCATTTTGGCCGTCCTTAGATTGTCTCTAATGTCAGCATTACTTTGTTCCCAGTTTTGTGTGATAGATTATGCATAAAATTCATTGCTGTCTAATTAAATCTCTTTCTGCAAAACCTTTTACTTTTAGCTGCTCGACCGGTCAATTTTCACCATGCTGTCTGTCGGTACCAACTTGCTTTGTCTTTGGATCCTCTTCATTTTCCACACCCATTAATACTTCTGCTTGCTTGAATTCAACCATTCTTCCGACAAGTTCTGTTTCATTATCACGTTTGCCTGCCACTCCGTCTCCATTGACATCGTTAACCTTATCATTAGCGGCAGCAGCGGCAACAATAACACCCTCTTCATCAATATCGTCTTTCAGACCAAGTACGTCGAAAACATCTTCCTCATCTTCCTCTGGGTCTTCAGTCGCAACCTCATTTGTTTCCAACCCCGAGGCGTCTGTCGGCACCGTAGCAACAATTCCCTCATATTCCTGTTCTCCCTACCCATGCTCATGTATCTACTCCTCTTCATGTTCTTCCTCTTCAATTTCACCACCTCTTTCTCTAAGTCTTATGCACCTTAACCACCAGTCAGACGGTTCCTTTCTTCACAGTACTCTCAGACCACTTACATCTCACTTACTTAATACTGCCGATTCAACGTTGGCTATCCTTCGCGAGTCAAAGGCCGTTGCTGCCATGAATGTTACACGAGCTCACATCACGGCTTCCGAATCGGCAGTCTTACCTCGGCAATCTGGTTGTCTGCCAAACACTTGCCCCACTTCTATTTACCTTCCAGGTCCACATCTAGTCACCTCAGCTGCTACATGCCAGCCCTTAGTCAATCGCGTGCCCTCCACAATGACTAGTTCTACAGTTTTTGACAACACCATCGTAGACCTTACTCCTGAATGCCCTGAAATTCCCGGCATTTTGTGCGTCAAGCCGTCTGAGGAGACAGGAACCACAAGGACTCTCTCAAACAACTCACGGCAAACCATAATCAAGTTGTCAGGGACTGACTTGGTCGATCAGCATTTCAAGATGTCGTTGGACAAACACAGCGTTCCTGAGAATTCTCCTGACGGGCAAATCGCCCCCACGGGGCCTCTTTCACGCCTATTCCTATCTGGGTCAAAACTTGGAGGCCAGGATCCACCGACCCAATTTGCATTATCCTCTATCGCTTCTTTCTCATCCTCCTGCTCATCCCTTTGCTACTCCTCGGTCTTCAAGCCGACTCTTGAGCCATCCCCACAATCACCTGGAGAGTCTTCATTTCAGAAACTTGCTATCCATAGGGATGAGCAAGGTCCTGTTGGGGCATGTTCTTCGACTCAGTCTAGCTCTTCAGCTTCGAGTTCATCTTCTTATTTGCCTCCTTCCACCTTGTTGACATCAACTTTCTCTTCCCCACTTTGTTCTCAGACTTCTTCTGAGTTCCCATCCTTATTTTGCCTATCCTCGTCCTCCGACTCCAATTTGTACACCCTAACGAATTCGTCGAATTTGTCAGGAAAAACACTAGTGTCATCGTCATCATCAGCAGTCTGTCCATCTATTCCCTCTTCTAAGTCTACAATCTCTACTTCTTTATCATCAGCAAAAGTAGAACCTCTTCCCTTAGGGGCCGCCAACATAATCCCTTGTGTTGGTCCAGGCAAGCTTCTTGCCGGCTCGAGCGGGACGACAATGTCTCTAAAAAAACGCCTCATGCAACGCTACGAGGCCGACAGTTGCCCCTCCCCGCCACAATTGAAGCGGCCGGGTCATATTGTCTGCTCTCCTCATTCTCCTGCCCCAACTTGCCCTGAATCCTCATCCTTTTCCATTCCTTCTGAATTCTGTCCCAATCATAAAAGCCCTCTACAATCGGCTTCTTCAATTCCATTAGAATTGCGCACGACGTACCCCATCATGTCTAGCCTGACTACACATCACTCATGTCAATCGAATTCTTTTGATGCTGGCACGTTTGTGACTCTAGAATCTGGCAGGTTTCGAGCCAATTTGACGGAAGCTGAGCATTTACGAGATTCTCTGGCCCCATCTACAACTGAAACTCTGCCATCCCCAGTGTTAATACCAGCATTGACCTCATCTCTGCTTTCCCAGCCACAATCTGATTTTACTTCGTCTTTTGAGACGACTGCTGGCAAGACAAGTGCTACCTCGGCTTTTCTGATGTCTTCATACCAGAAATTGCCCACTTCTGCATCTACCTCTGAGTTGTCTACTGATACACCGGCGGCTATAATGCCGGATCATGAAGGGGATGGCTCTTGCATTTATGTTAGAGTGAGTTTTATATTTAAACTATTTTTCAATACTTTTATCAATGAGGTTGATTTTTCGTCCAATCCTTAATATATTTTTAATTGAAGACTGATATCATTGAGGGAATCTTTCAAGTTTTTGATGTCAGTCCTATTTATTTGATGCTGGTGTATAAATTAGTAGATACAGATCAGCTGATTGACATTATACAGATGTAACATTAATGAAAACGTTCAAAATTCAAATGGCCATCGAATTGACTCGATTAAACTCTCTTAAAACAGGCGCTTGATGAGCATTTTTTATCAACCGATTTTCATTCTATCCTCTTAAGTGACAGTAAAAGGATTTTATGAGTCTTAGTTCACAATACTTCTTAGTTTAAAGGATCCTTAGTATGGAATTGCCCTTAAACGAATCAGCTCTGTGCTTAGAATAAAAATTGCTTTGAATAAAAGACCGTAAAAATTCATGTTGCCTTGTTTGGGGCACCTACTTCATTCATTTAATTTAACTCATTTAATTTAGTTTAGAATTTACTTAGTCCTTATTGTCAATATTTTCATTTTGCCAACATCCAAATCGACATGTTTTTTTATTCGAACTCCGTAAGTTCGGCCATCCAGCTTTTTATTTGCATGCTATATCGGTTACCACCGAAAAATGGAAATTTCGTATCAACTTTATGTAAGAGGCTGGTTCGGATGCTTTACTACACTAATGAAACTCGCATGAAAATGTTTCAACATTAAGCTTTCTATCTGACAAACAGACGAGATCTTACTAATATTAAACTTCCCACTTTATATATAAATTTAAGTAGGTATTGAAAGTTACGACGGCTGATTTCAGCTAAATTGTCCTCGGCACATCACCTTTTAAAAATACCAAGTCAATAATGGTAGCCGGCTGCAATTCCTACTTACAACCTAATTCTGAGGTCTTAGTGAGACATCCTACGACTGACTTCTTGCAAATGAGTGAAGTTTGGGCCCGAAAATTTGATTTACCTAGCCAATAGGTTATGATCCAGTGATCTGAACTGATTTAGCGTGTGTCTATGACGGGACTCCAGATATAGATGAATCAATGGAAATCCACGAAACGATCAGCACTGGGAATAGAGGTAACGGATATGGGAAACTGGGCTGTCGGATGAAATCAATGTGAAGTAGCAGGACGAACTCCCAAGTATTATAATGATTGTTCATCCTGGAGTCTGATTAGGGCTTTCTCATCTAAATTGACCTAAAAGAATTACATACAAAAAACACCTATAATCACATATGCATGACAACTGCAGGATTTCAATAAAGGTAATTTATTAAAGGAATTGGATTTTAGACCACCTCCCCACTTATTTTATTCCTATACTTGCATGTAAGGAGAACAATTTATTAACAAATCAAATCGTCGAATACCTCATTAATATTGAAAAATAAGGTTATATAAAGTAAACAAGAATGTTAACGGCCACCATTCTTGGCTTAGTTTTTCCCACTCTGACACTGTCTTTCATGGTAAAAGGGATAAAGGGCGAACATGGATTTATCTGGGTCGCCGGACGGTTTACCGGGGATTTCTACTTTCAAATCGAGCAACAGATGCTAGACTTTTACGTTGGTTTCCTATGAGGTTAATTCACGAACCCCTTCTATCCAAGTCTTCGCTAAAAGTAAGGATCTAGTGACATTCTTTCATTTACCTGAATGGTGTTTGGGTCTTCTTGCTCAGAGTTTAACATTTTGCCTACGAATAACTACATGCACTTTTATAGTCCTGCTATGACTATTAATGAGACATAAGTGAGTTCAAAGCTACGATCAATTTCGATTGAGAAAACCATTTTGGAATGCATGACAAAGTAAAATTATATGCATGCTCAACTCTTATCTTCAATTCAATCCGTATAGGACCCTTATCAGTCTTTTTAGCACTTCATCCTCATATTGCTCTCAGTTCGCTTTTTGATTGTGTCAAATGGCCACTTTTGGGGACAGTGAGGACGTGTTTCTCGTTTTTACACTTACATATTGATGCCCGATATTGGGCTCAAGTACTCTAATGCTTAGCTTACTTCATCGGAATGCTCGGATTCATCTACTAACTGAGAATATACGAAAGAGTCAGCAAAGCAGCGATAATTATTCGAAAAAACTGGCTCGGAATACACACGATTTGGAGATTTGAATTTTTGCTCATCTCATATAGCCCTAATGGATTTACCAAGCTTGTCTATTCAGGAATGACTAAATTCAAATGAGATGTATTCACCCTATTTCGCTTAAGGTT